CACTCCATAATTATGTTGACACTAGGCTATTCTGCTTGAATTAGAGTTATAATTTTGAATGTAATAATTTAGACTAACAATATAAATTGTCCGTCCGGCCGGCTTACCCGGGATCGGGTCGCAGGGCAGCAGCAGAGAGACCCAGACATCCCTCACCCCAGTGATACTTTCCAGCTTATCCTGGGGAACTCCGAGACGTTCCCAGACCAGAGGGGTTACATAATACCTCCAGCGACTCCTGGATTTTCTCCAAAGTGCCAGACATATTTTGAAAACATTCTAAAATGCTTATTTCAGAACCGCAACTATGAGCACTTGAGACTGTGCCCGGGGGATGGGGGGGGGGGGGGTGGGTGTACGGTGCGCGACGGTGTGGCTTCTGAATAAAWGAAAATGATTTAACACAGTTGTTTATACTTTTAGCAGCTCTTTTTATTCCACAGCTGACCGGCTAAAAATGACAGATTTTCTTGTCTGGATCTCTGAGAGCAGGACTTCAATCTCTGAACTCGTAAAGTTCGTCTTTTTATTTCGCTGTCATTTTCATGAATGGACACTTCCTTTTATCTCAGGTAGGAAACATAGCCTTATATGGTGTTTTTGGGGTGGTAATTGTGCTAATCTCTCGCGTGCACGAGGAGCTGGATACGAACAGGTGGAATTTGCGCAGCTCATTTACACACTTTTCCTGAAGATAGAAGAGTTTTGTTGAATTTGACGTGGCATGTTCGTACGAACCCTTCATACGAACAAAAGTAAGAGAAATTTAGGATAAGAATACGAACATGTTCTTGCATGAGGCCCAATGACTGTTAATGTAATGTGATCATTTTCAGCCAACTACATGCTAGTTTTTTTCTTCAAATTAAACAACTTCAGTCTTTCTTGGGCCTCATGCTGTTAAGGTCTAAAAATATTGTGTTAAGTGTAAGTTAGTCCTTTCCCGAAGTTCAATGAATGTACTTTTGACATGATTTTTGGATTTTACTTTGGAGATTATTGTAGTATCACAAACAAATGCAGTAGAAAAGGCAATTTTTGAGACTTGAAAATAAATATATATACATTTTTTTAACAAATGTGTTAAAATATTTATTATCTTCAATAATTCAGAATTATCAACTGATTTCAGATATTACATTTATTGGAATGGTGGTACCTTCAAATGTCGTGTTCCACATGTATGAGGTGATCTCTCTTCCATTCTTCTTGTTGTATCCGTTCTTAATAGCCTCATGTAATGCAGCTGTATACAACAACATGGCATCATGGAATCCCTCAACAAACATGTTGACCTAACATGAAACAGAATTAAAATAATAAAATGGAAATTATGTTGCAATGTTTACTAAAGACATGTCAAATATTCTACATACTGAATTAAAGGAGATTAAAAAGACAGGACAGCTTCAATTTTTCTAATCTACACAGGCCAAAATTAAATATACATGTGCAAATATACAGTATATACAAAAACATTCATTCCATTGGTTGTTTTACACGATTATTGCTGTCATAAATCAATCCTGATTAGTATAAAAAAGCATTTTCAACATAAACATTTTCAACATCAAAGTATAATCAAATTTCTAGAGTAATACTAATCTAATAAAATATGTCATGTAAAGCAGGTGATTGCATCAATGGTTGCCCGTTTTAATGTGACCATCCTAATTTAACTTAGAGAAATGTTACAGAAAACTACATGTCAGGGGATGGATACAAGAGGAGTCCCAATGCCCCAAATCAAATCCTTAATGAAGAAATGGAAGGAATATGGAACATGTAAATCTTCCAAGAGCAGGGGTCGGATTCATAAAACTTGCGTACGCACAACATGAGCCCAGAAACTTGCGTACGCCACTTTTCACGCAAAGGTTGTGATTTATAAAATCCAAACTTGACGTGAAAATGTGCGGTCCCTCACGCCAGCTCTGACCCATGTGTACGCTCATTTTGGAGACGTGAAACTGAGACACAGATGGTGAAGTGAAGAATTAGAGCCACACTGTGTCATGATCACTGTCAGATATTTAATTTCACTTCATAATCAGACATAGATTTTTCTTCAACTTTAACATCAGTTTTCTTAACAGTATTATTTATGCTTCTGCTGCTGAGCCAGAAGGACCTTTGAAATAAAAAAACTTAAATCTTAAACAAAAGTTCACGCAACTCATTAATTTCTTTCCTCCTCCTCACGACCCTGACCCACAGACTCCTCCCTGACAAGACACATTTCAGCAGCACGACATCATGCTTTGGGTACGTGCAGGGCGCGCCCACCCTCACCAGTGTGGATGTTATTAGATTTCACTTTTTAAAGTCCGTATTTGTCACGCGGGGGGGTGGGGTATTTCACGGAGTACATTAGAAAAATAAATGAAACTATGTTTCTGTGTAAACACTAATGATGTTTACACTGCTGGAGGAAGATGGTGTCACAGGGATCCTTAGGGTTTTTTCTTTCGTTCCTTTTTTCTTTTCGCTCCATTTATCTGTCATCACATCACTTTCTCACTCTTTTTTCTTTTTTTCAAACAATTGTTTACACACAAGCACACAAAACCATACACACAAATATTTCATACGAAAACCTTGTATATTTCACATATTTTCACACGCAGCACCTACTTTATTTTCTTAAATTTTACTATTTTTTCTACCACTGCCTCTGAAATTTCAACTAGCCATCCACAATCACTGATTGTGATTTTTCTTCTGTGTTTTTGTCTCTATGGTAACACGTGCGGTATAACTTTAACTACGCATACACAACTATGGGCACACTAAGGTTTGTCACATGGAATGTAATGGAACCTGCACCCAACAAAAGAAATTTCAAATCTTTAACCAGCTTAAAAGATTGCAGGCGGATGATGTCTTACTAAAAGATTCATAAATTAACTTCAACTGCAGATGGTTTTAAATCTCCTGAGTTCCCTAATGTATTTTCTGCCTGCTATAATTAAAGACAAAGGGGAGTAGCAATATTAATATGCAAAAACTTTAATTTTAAATGGACTGTACTTATATAATGCTTTTCTAGGACACTCCAAGTTCTTCACACTACAATCTGTGTCCTCATTTACCCATTCACACAGCACTCTATTAGGTCTCTACAATGCTAACATGTACAATCATCTATGGAGACTAATCAGTGCCAATCCCATTCATACACTGATGGGACACACATCAAAGGCATTAGGGTTCAAGTGTCTTGTCCAAGGAGACAACAACTGAGACAGCTGGACCAGGTATCGAACCAGTGAACTTTTGGTTCCATGACGACTCCCCTAACTACCTTGCCACAGCCGCCCTACAGTACTAGACATAGGGTGTATTCAGACCAGTAAAGTCCTTTGGTCCACTCGTTTGGTCTGGATCAAAAGTGGACTTTTTTTTTCATTTGGTGTGGTTTGCATTCACATTGTGCTTTTTTGCAAATGAACTATAACTTGTAAACAAAGCCATGAGGGTGACGATCATTGCTGCCATTGGCTGAAAGGACGGGGGCGGGACTGAGTGCACAGACCCAGAAAAAAACATGGAAGTCCTGCATGCTGCGGTTCTTATGCGCACATTTTTGCAGATAGTACAACTTCAATAGCATGTAAAATGTCAGAAGCAGCTAATTTAATGGTGGTTTCGTGGTGATATTCTAAATTTGGAGCGACGTCAGTAAATGTGTCCCGCGACCCAAAGGAGACGAGATGCTCTGCGTGTTCTGACCCACATGCTGCCAGCAGAGCTGCTAAGCAGGAGACAACAAAACAGGTATGATTTCAGTTTATTCAGCTCAGCAACAGTGGCCTGTGAAGTCCAAAAAGGTGCATGTTTTATGCAGTTGGTTCGGTTAGAGTTCGGTCTGTGTTCACACCAGAAGCGAACTGAAGCGAACCGCACCAGAGTTCATTTTGAAACGAACCGAGACCACCTCAAAAAGCGGGTCTCGGTCCGGTTGTTTGATCCGTACCAGAGTTCGCATGAGTGTATTTACACCTGCACAAAAAGTCTGGACCAACGCTGGAAACAAACTCTGGTTCATTTAAAGCGGAGCAAATTGTCAGGCCTGAATACGACCTTAGTTACAGAGCCAGTGGTTAGATATGTAATAATAAAATTATCTACACATAACCACAAATTTTGTATTGTCAGCTTATATGGTCCAAAAGTTGATGACACTTAATTTTTTATGACTTTTTCTGCACTGTACAAACACTTGGACAGCTCACTACTACATGGAGGTGATCTCAACTTTGGTTTAAATGAAGAAATACAGTAGACATTCTTAATACAGCAGGAACTCAGCGCAGTTGGCAATCCATAAATGTAGTTAAACAGTACATGAGTGATAATGGACTTTGCGATGCATGGTGTTCTCTTCACCCTTAACAGTAAGGAAAATATACAGTATTTATTAAAGTATGATACGAAAAATTAAACCCATAAAATCATCCATAAAGTTGGGGGATAGTACCATGCTCGGAACAATGTTTTTGCTTATGCGTTTTAACTGAAATAACGGCCCCATTCACAAAATGCCTGAGTCAGGAAATGAGACCACATCGTAAAAAGTGGTTGAAGCGAGCTTACCTCTGACACTCCTTCGTTGATGCGAGCGAGATAGTAACAGATCCAAGTAGACAACATGATGTGAAAAAAAAGAAAAAAGGCAGTCCTGCAGCTTAGTAATGATAACCAACTAATGATATTAGTGTGCGACCGGGCGGCTCCTGGATCAACAACAAACACATGGTCGGCTGTAAAGGCTGCCGTCTACCCGTGTTCTGTAAAAGTTGGTCTACCTGAAAAAAGTTTCCCCACCAGAGGGGGCGGTCGCGAGACACAGGATGAGATTGCTGTTGAGTGGAATTCTGATGCCTTTATTACAGAGGAGGAATACCAGAAACTTTTTGTTGATACAGATGATGATGAGTCTGATTTTGAAGACGTTTGAGTCAGCTTCATTCACACTTGTTGGAGCCACATAGCTCTATCTGTTTGTTATATCACACCAGTTAACAAATGAGCATTGCTAAATTTCACATAATAGTTTTTGTTGTAGTTACTGTTAGACGTTTGTTGTTGTGAACCTTTTAGTACATATGCTGTTTAAATAAAATAAATAAAAAATTGAAACAACAGTATATGATATGTATAAAATTGCAAAGGCTGAAAAATCCTGAAATCCGTATGAAATTGAGGTATTATGAGAATTTAATTTTTTATGCTTTTTAGGCTAAAATGGGGGGGGTCATGTTATACGTGAGATTGTATTATACACGAATAAATATGGTAAATGTTTCTTTTCTTTTTTTACACGTTTCCTGGAGGAGGTCCGCAATGAGAAAAGGTAAGTAAGTACAAGATGCAAGTAGTAAATCTTCAGGCAGAGTGGCCACATAGCAGGTGAGTGTGATTGGTTCTCAGGCTCAGGCTGACTTGGTAGATGATCCTCTTGGAGATCAGCTTAAAGGGAACAAAGAACAGGCAGAATGCATCATGATAAACCTAGGAGGAACACAGAACGTGGAAGACACAGAACACAGAAAATACTCTGAAACTGGCATGACCTGGGGAACACGGAAGACATACCGCAGCCGGGTTGATGATGCACTCCACAGGAAAGGGACTAAAGAAACAAGGAGCCAGCTTCCTTGGTGTGTCTTTGAGTTGGATGTCCTTGGTCGAGAGCCAGACTCTTGGCCAACCTGCAGGTGGGTTCTGAGGAGTGGTGTCTGTTAGCAATCCTCTTGTTCTGTTCAGCATTTCTTAACAGGGCCTCTTTTGTCTGCTGCCAGAGACATAGACACCTGTATAAATGATGCTGGACAGGAGAACAGCTCGGACTCAACACTAGGGAACAAAAGGGGGTTTATAGCCTACAGAGTAGGGATTATTTATGTCTTCACCACTAAGTTCAATTAGATACGCATCTCGATACACTGCCACTGATACGATATAATTGCGATACACTGAAACCTGTTGTTAATACAATGCGATACAAATCACTCCTGTTCACGATACGATGTGATTCAAAAATTATTTGATAACGATATGACTTAATTATATGAGGATTTGGTTTGATAAGTGATCATTCGATACAGGGAGTTGAGGTTTGAGGATGTACTGGCCTAACCCATCAGTTTTCTTAACTCAATAGCACAATTCTGCTTTACTCTGTTTGAGGGATGTATGCATCTGGTTGTTTTCAATGGAGTACATCAATACATAATATAAAAAAATGCATGTATTTTCAGACAGAGCATGAAACTTTATTCAACTGAATTACTCAGATATATTCTCAGTCTATTTTTATACAAAATGTATAAAACATAAGATGAACAGTTTTTAAAAGGACTGTGTTATCAATGTGCATAGTGAAAATTATGATCTGCAACACATACTACTTGTCTGCTACTTAACTGCTACACATACTTGGATGACTGAGTAGTGAACATAAATGGCTCTAATTCCATTTAACAAATAAATATTAAAAATTAAATAATAACATAAAAATAAAACTTTTATTGCAGCATGTAGCAGCTGCTGTAAAAAATACTTTCACCAAGGTGCTCAAATAAAAGTATTGCTTTTCAAAGTGCAATGTCCATAGTACTCGTGTGTACTTAGAAAAAAAAGTATAGTGTGATTTATATAAGAAATGGAACATGTAAACAAAAAACATCAAATGGCAACCAAATAATGCTTAAAGTGTCAACACCTTTCTTCACTTCATGATTTATCTCATATGGCTTTGTGTACGGTTTTTCTTTAGAAATATTAACTGGTCAACATGTTCTGGCAGTAGCAGACCACGCTGAGCAGTCACGATGTCACCAGCTGTACTGAATAAACGTTCAGATGAAACAATTATTGCAGGGATACATAAGTAGGTTTTGACCAATTTGGACAAAAGAGGGAGATTCACCTGCTCTTTCCACCACTGCAACACATCCCCATGCAGATCTAAATGATCCCTACCCCTGTACTTGGCAGTTTCCTCCTTAGCTCTTTCTCTTGAACTCTTCTTCTGCCCTCTTGGAGAGGAGAGCCTTCCAAACATCACGTCGAATGCTGACTTCTTCATGGGAGGTTCTGGGTCATCATCTAGAAAAGAAAAGAGAAATTTAATAAAATTTGACAAGAACTATATTATATCAAAATATGTTTGAATAAAAACAATAAATAATAAATAAATAAAAACATTTACCCTTGTCTTCCTCCTCTCTGTGGGAGCTCTGTTCATTCTCTTGGTTGCCTGTCTTTCATTCAGTCTGCCATCCTCTTCTGCCTGAGAATAATGGGCAGATATAAATTACATTTATTTGACTAAATCAAATAAAACACATCAGGTTGACATGGCAGAATTTAGGAATAAGAAGAAACGTAATGAGCATATTACCCTCTTCTCCACTTCAGCTGTTATTCCCAGGTATACTGTGTCCCTGGTGTGGTCATCATCCAAAACTTCCAGTGCCTTGAAACGGGGGTTGAATGCTGAGGCTTTTCAGAGAAAGTCTTGAATGTATGTGTAACGGGTGCTGAAGTCCTGTCTAAACTTATCTTTCATCTCAGAGATGACTGGCAGGTCACGGTCATCAGGATCAAAATGCTCCAGCAGTTTGGCCAGTGTTGAGGCGATGATGGAAATAGTGGGTCTTTTCTTCACTGAGACACTTAGTTGCTTTTTTCAGTGGTGTCAGCAGCTCAATGATTTCGGGCATCAAGATAACGTCCTCCTCTTCATCTTTCTTGTTGTCAAAGTCACAGCAACCTGCTGCTCCCACAAATGCTCCATTATGTCCAAGGAACTGTTCCACCTTGTGGTGACATCATGAATCATCTTGTGGTCTTTTAGTTTTAACAGGGCTTGCACTTCATGCATAGTTCCACAGGCTTTGGGACTTTTGTGAAAGAATGTTACAAGTTTCCATATCTTAACCAGCAGTGCTGAAACAGTTTCAAACTTGAGAGCTTTTTAGGAGGGCAGATTAAGAGTGTGAGCAATGCATCTGATGTGTGGCTCCATGTCTGCACCTGCTCCATCCAGTAGCATGTTCCTAGCATTGTCAGTTGCCAAAGCAGGCTTCTTGTCTTCAAGTTTCCATTCACAGCAAACATCACGCAGAAAAACTGACAGATACTGTCCAGTGTGGGCCTCATCATATATTCTTGTTTATAGAACATAGTTTTTTCATATTCCACTCATTTTCATTGTGATGTGATGTGACTGTGATATATGAATGAGTGGCACGCGATGTCCAGCCATCCACAGTGATAGCAACTCGTCTGGCATTACTGAGGGATTCTATCACCTCTTTTTTCACTTTTATGTACAGAGCAGGAATTTGTGTGTCAATAAAAAATGCCCTTTGTGGTATTTCATACCTTGGGTCCAAGATGTGGACCAGTTGTTTAAATCCCTCATTCTCTACAATGCTAGGGCTGAATGTCTTTGCAAATAAAGTATGCTATGGCATCAGTTATGGCTTGGGAGTGAGCAAAGTTAGCTGCCAAGGGTGTGTTTTGCCTAAATAAACTTGCGATAGACCTGTCACCTCCTTTGCTACTGCTCAGCGTGGCTTGTGTTTCAGCAGGATCCGAAGAAAACGAGGGTGTAGCGGCTGCAGAGATGTTCACACCGTGCCGTCTTTTCATGTGCGTCGCCAGGTTTGTCGTGCCACTAATGTATTTGATAGCCCCATGGCATTGTTTGCAGATTGGGTGCGTCTTGTCAAGTTGACCACCTCGCTTAAAAACCCAAAACATTTCCGCACGTTTGATTTGTGTGTCTTTTTTGGTGCATCAAATATCTCTGTCGTTGCTAATGCTCTCGTTTCCCTCCATCTTTGTTGTGTATGTCTGTGTGCTTGCATCAGTACGTGAGGACGCGATGGTGCATTTACGTTGCCTCAGAAAAAAAAGAAATCAATAAAAATAAAAAAACATTGCCTCGGAAAATACGTTAGAATAAGAAATATATACTGGAAAACAAAACACCCGATTTAACCATGGTATTAGCTGATCCAAAAAGACTAGAGGAGATGCACCGTAAATTTGCCTGCAAATTAAACCCGATGCACCTTGCAGTCGCATCGCAGACATGCGTGCCGAACCACCGATGTGAAGTGGTGAATCTCCCCATCACTAGTGGAAACAACACTGCAGGCACTCCGCTCAGCAGGAATGAGGATTCTGTTTTATTTGGACGACCTGCTACTGCTGGAAAGAAAGAAGCGGAGATTCAAACGGAAGCCATGATGTCACATCTGTGCATCCTGGGTTTTTCCATAAACTGGGAAAAAAGCTCCATTGTTCCACTGATTGTTTACCTGGGGGTGGAGCTAAACTCAGTCACCATGAGAGTGCAGCTGTAACAGCAGAGGAAAGACGCACTGACAGCGCTGCTGAGACGTGTCAAACTTCACTCCTCAGTGATGGCTCTGACAGTCATGCGCCTGCTGGGCATGATGTCAGCAGCACATGCAGTGGTTCCACTGGACTTGCTTCATATGAGACAGCTGCAGAGATAGTTCTGTTGTCTCCAGCTAGACCCGGTGCATCAAAAACGGCAAATGATCTCGGTCCCACCGTCAGTAGGAGGGGATCTGAATTGCTAGAAAAACCTGCAGAATCTTTTAGAAGGAGTCCCTGTGAGCAGAGCGACTTCTCATGTTTCTGTGTTCAGTGACACATCCCTCTCAGGGTGGGGAGGGACGTGTCTTTCCCAAGCGGTGGGATGATAGTGGCCAGCCCACATGCCCCTCCACATAAATGTCCTGGAACTCCTCACAGTGTGGAAGGTGGTTCAGCACTTTGCTCCACTGCTGCAGGACCAACATGTTCTGATCCACACAGACAACAAGGTGGCAGCTGCTTACATAAACCGCCAGGGGGGAGTGCGCTCAGCGCAGCTGCTGGAAACAGCCAGACAGCTACTGTTCTGGGCACACACACACTTACGCTCCATCAGAGCGGTGTACATCCCCGGAGTCCTGAACAGAGAAGCGTACATAATGTCCAGGGGAGGTCCTCAGGACAGGGACTGGAATCTCGATCGGGATCTGATCCTCCAGATCTGGCGCAAGTTCGGCAGAGCGGAGGTAGACCTGTTTGCCGCACAAGAAAACGTTCAGTGTGAAATCTGGTTCTTCCTGAGTGCTGGAGACGAACCAACACTGGGGGTGGATGCGTTCGCTCACCGACTGTGGCCACACAAACAGCTTTATGCTTTTCCCCGTCCCGCTGATTCCAGGTCTCTTGGAACGGGTTCGGGAGGAACAGCTGAGAATGATTTTGGTGGCTCCAGAGCGCACGGGTGCGTCATGGTTCCCGTGCCTGCAGCAGCTGTTACTCTTGTGGTAGCCATGTTGACCCTGATAGATTTGTTTTGTTTTTCCTCTCCTGCATGGAGAGAAGAGAGGAGAGTTCTTTAATTAAATGGAGACAAGTTCCCGTGCTCCAAAGTTATTTGACTCTGTGGTTCTCGCACTGGGCAGGTTTCTAGCCCTCATAGCTCGCATGTTAGAGTGAGTACTAATTGAAGGAGATAAAAATGGTACTTTTTGTTCAAGCATCACTTTTCTGTTTCTCTGTCAGGAGTTAAGTCAGGATTTTATGTTTTCTTTTTTTGTAGGTAAATATACAGGTCCTTCTCAAAAACTTAGCATATTGTAATAACGTTCATTATTTTCTGTAATGCACTGATAAACTTTCATATACCTTAGATTCATTGCACACCAACTAAAGTAGTTCAAGCATTTTTTCTTTTAATATTGATGATTTTGGCAAAAAAGTAAAGAAAAATCAAAAATCCCTATCTCAAAAAATTAGCATATTTCATCCAACCAATAAAAGAAAACTGTTTTAATACAAAAAAAAAGTCAACCTTAAAATAATTATGTTCAGTTATTCACTCAATACTTGGTCGGGAATCCTTTTGCAGAAATGACTGCTTCAATGCGGCGTGGCATGCAGGCAATCAGCCTGTGGCACTGCTGAGGTGTTATGGAGGACAGGATGCTTCGATAGCAGCCTTAAGCTCATCCAGAGTGTTGGGTCTTGTGCCTCTCAACCTTCTCCTCACAATATCCCACAGATTCTCAATGGGGCTCAGGTCAGGAGAGTTTTCAGGCCAATTGAGCACAGTAATACTATGATCAGTAAACCATTTACCAGTGGTTTTGGCACTGTGAGCAGGTGCCAGGTTGTGCTGAAAAATGAAATCTTCATCTCCATAAAGCTTTTCAGCAGATGGAAGCATGAAGTGCTCCAAAATCTCCTGATAGCTAGCTGCGTTGACCCTGCCCGTGATAAAACAGTGGACCAACACCAGCAGCTGATATGGCACCCCAGAACATCACTGACTGTGGGTACTTTGACACTGGACTTCAGGCATTTTGGCATTTCCTTCTCCTCAGTCTTCCTCCAGACTCTGGCACCTTGATTTCCAAATCACATGCAAAATTTGCTTTCATCGATAAAAAGTACTTTGGACCACTGAGCAACAGTCCAGTGCTGCTTCTCTGTAGCCCAGGTCAGGCGCTTCTGCTGCTGTTTCTGGTTCAAAAGTGGCTTGACCTGGGGAAAGTGGCATCTTTAGCCCATTTCCTGCACACGCCTGTGCACGGTGGCTCTGGAAGTTTGTACTCCAGTCTCAGTCCATTGCTTCCGCAGGTTCCCCAAGGTCTGGAATCGGCCCCTCTCCACAATCTTCCTCAGGGTCCGGTCACATCTTCTCGTTGTACAGTGTTTTCTGCCACACTTTTTCCTTCCCACAGACTTCCCACTGAGGTGCCTTGATACAGCACTCTGGGAACAGCCTATTCATTCAGAAATGTCTTTCCCTCTTGCCTGAGGGTGCCAATGATGGCCTTCTGGACAGCAGTCAGGTCAGCAGTCTTACCCCTGATTGCAGTTTTGAGTAATGAGCCAGGCAGGGAGCTTTTAAAAGCCTCAGGAATGTTTTGCAGTTGTTTAGAGTTAATTCGTTGATTCAGATGATTAGGTTAATAAGTTACTTAGAGAACCTTTTCATGATATGCTAATTTTTTGAGACAGGGATTTTTGATTTACTTTACTTTTTTGCCAAAATCATCAATATTAAAACAATAAAAGGCTTGAACTACTTCAGTTGGTGTGCAATGAATCTGAAATACGTATATGAAAGTTTAATGTTTATCAATATATTACAAAAAATAATTAAATTGATCAGAATATGCTAATTTTTTAGAAGGACCTGTAGATAGTTTTGTTTGACAATACTTTAAACTAAATAAAACTAGCAACACTTTACATTCTGTTTTATTTACTTTAAAGAAGTGAGGAGTCGGGAGATGAAAAATTATGTTTTTTTGATGCTGAGACTGGACGAGTAGCTCTCGGCAAACTGCCGACTTCAAAAGTAGCTCTTGGTTCAAAAAAGGTTGGGCACCCCGGTGTTGCGAGCAAGATTAGCATGTCAAGAAATGGAGGAGCTAAACAACTTAGCAAAGTCTCTTAAAACAAAAAAACAAACAAACAAACATTTTAGAATAGATCACACCAAGAGAACCTTAAATTAAAAGAGCTTGGACCCGATCAGCTGGACATGAAAAGCAGCAGAACAAAGAGAGTGGGAGAGTTTACACTCAATTATTTTCCAAGACCTGGATTATCAACAAGCTAAGCAAACTGCTTTTAGCGAGGCTAATGGTTTGTTTTGCCTTGTTTTACAAGCATCAGGATCTGATCCAGCATGGATTAATTTAATCCACGCTGGATCAAACAGGTACGAGAAAAGCTATATGTCATTTGTAATGCTTTTAATCATAGTAGTGCTACAATTTAGTTATATTGTTTTATAATTGTGAAGACAGTTTAAAATTTGATATTTTATATATACCAGGTTATTAAAGCAAGAGAAATACCCAAGTACAGGTTCAGACTGATAAAACACGGAACACAGGTAAACGTTAAAGTGTTTATTTACAGTGGTCAGGGTGTGGAGGTCAATCCTGAAAAGGAAGGACAAGGGATTACCATATGTCCGGAGAGATTCTTGAAGAGATAGAAGAAATGTATCTTACAGGATTCGTGGAGGAGGCTGATCCAGAGGAGGAGGCTTTGGAAATCCAGGAGGTAAGTTCTTTGTAGGAGCAGGTGAGTGATCTTTAATGGCAGTTCTGTTTTCAGGTGGAGAGAGTGGCAGGGCAGAGACGCTTGGTGCCAGAGGCAAGTGGATTCCTTCCAGAGAGACATCAGAAAATCCAAACCAAAAATTTAGAGGTTAGTCACGAGCCACGGAGGGTTCTTTAGGGAGCACAGAAAAAACATCAAAGGGTTACTTGAAGGTTTTCACAAGGAGATTTACAAAAGCTACAACAGTACCAAAGAAAACTGAATGATTCAGTGAGGACCGGATCTCTCTCTGGAGCTTAAGTACCACTCGACTCATCAGGAGCAGGTGAGAAGTGCAGACTCCACCCATGCCAATCAGCAACTGCCAGGTGAGATCATAGAAAACAAACACATCTCCACAGTAGCTCCCCCTCAAGAATTGCCTCCAGGAGATATATAACGTTTCTCAGGATGTTCTCTGTAGAATGAGGTGATAAGACCAGGGTCGAGGATGAAGGATCTAGGGATCGAGGAACATTCCTTGGGGCCATATCCCTTCCAGTCCACCAAGAATTGATGGCCACGACCTCTTCTGCAGACGTCAAGGATGCTACGGACCGTAAACACAGGTTGTTTATCAATCAGATGAAGTGGAGGAGGAGGTTGAGCTGAAGGGTTGAGGGGACTCTTGATGAAGGGTTTGATTTGGGAAACATGAAAAGTAGGACGGATACGCATGGTCTTAGGAAGCTGAAGTCTAACAGCAGAAGGGTTAATGATGCAGACAATGGGAAAGGGTCCAATAAAACGAGGGGCTAATTTCTTAGAGAAGTTCTTTAGAGTGATGTCATGGGTGGAGAGCCATACCTTCTGACCAATGGAGTACAGAGGGGCAGGAGTCATGTGACGATCAGTCAACCTCTTGTTTTGTTCCTGAGACTTCACAAGAGCCTCCCTGGTCTGCCTCCATATCCTGCTGCAGCGCTGGACGTGATGTTGAACAGATGGAACAGCGACTTCAGTCTCCTGGCTCGGGAAAAGCTGGGGTAGATAGCCAACAGAAGCCTCAAAGGGAGAGAGACCGGTAGCTGAGCAGGTGTGGGAATTATGGGCATATTCAATCCAACTTGAATGAGAAGACTCGGAGGAAGGGTTAAAGTTAATGACACAATAGATGGCAGATTCAAGTTCTTGGTTACTCCTTTCAGATTGTCCATTGGACTGAGGATGATAGTGAAGGAATTATTGGGGTTTATTTAGTGCACTGATTATAATTACACCACACAGTCTATTTTGTTTTATGATAGAAGTGTAATGACTGATAAATGTGATTTATGATTACCATGATGATTCTATTTTTATTAGCTACATGCCTGGAAGACATACAACACATATTTGTATGTTTAAAATCATTAGAATAGCTTTATATTTGTTGGTGGGCATGTCTCTGACCAAAATTATAGGGATCCCCTCCTAACTTATGACGTAATTAAGAGTCAGAATCACGCCCTGAAGCTGGTGTTATATTCTCTGTGACTTCCTTGTTCGGTCTGATTCCTGGGCAGTATTAAACAGTTTATCAGCAGAGCGCTCTGGTTTCTGTATGGTTTACTCTCACACTCACATTATATTGCACATTCTGATATGATTGCGCACACATCCTGGTAATGAACGCACATTAATATCTACTTTCTTTCAATAGCCTGAAGTTAAACTCACAGATGGACCCAAAGCTTGACAGAACGCTTTCCAAACTTGGGATATTAACTGAGGATCCCTGTCAGAAACTATGTCACTGGGAATGCCGTGTAGCCGAAAAACATGTTGGATCAGAAGTTGAGCTGTCTCAAAAGCTGCTAATTTCTTTAAAGGAACAAAATGTGTGGCCTTAGAACACCTGTCCACAATGGTGAGGATGGTGGTACTACCTTGAGAGTGGGGTAGTCCTGTGACAAAGTCCAGTGCTATGTGCGACCATGGATGTCCAGGAATCAAAAGAGGCTGGAGAAGGCCCACAGGGGGTTGGTGAAGACTCTTGTTCTGAGCACAGATGGTACATGCGGACACAAACTCCTTAATGTCGTTATAAGAGTTAGACCACCAAAAATATCTCTTGGAAAAAGAAATCATTCTGTTTAACCCAGGATGACAAGCAAATCTTGCACTGTGAATCCAGGTTAATACCTTATTGACAACAGCTCGAGGAACAAACAGACGATTAGGAGGTCCAGTACCAGGGTCTGGTTCATCTCTTTGAGCCCGTAAAATCTCCTTCTCTATTCCCAGGTCATGGCTCCAATAGTGCAGGACGCAGGAAGGAGGGT